CCCCAAAACCCCAAAACCCCAAAACCCCAAAACCCCAAAACCCCAAAACCCCTAATTCAATTTTTATAATTGAATAATAAAAACTTCTTACTAGAAATACTTTCAGAATGGAAACTAATGGGATGAGCGAGTTAGATAAACAAATGGCAGAACTTGGAATTCTTGAGAAGGAAATCATGGGTAAACTATCTTAACTCTCTCTTTCTCCCTCTTTCTTCAAAGTTTTTATTCGAAAACCAGCTGTTAATCTGACAACTTCAATAGGCGACCAAGAGGAAAGTGAGAGTGATGTTGAAGAGGAAGAATCTGAAGAAGAGGATGATAAGAACAAACTAATTTTCAGGTCCCAGTCCGATGTCAGGAATTGGCTACGGAAACACGGCAAGAGTAACAACTTCAGTTAATAAAATCTCTAGGCCAGTATATAGACTTTGAGGATGACCAGAAAAAGAAACTTTGGGAGTACTTCAAGTCGCTCGATGGTGATGGCTCTGAGTCTATCGGTGTGGAAGAGCTAGAGGACCCCCTCATTGCTCTTGGCCTAGTCAACGATCGCCAGCAGGTAGAAGATATCATCAGGAAGGTCGACGATGATGATACAGGAGAAATTGAGTTCGAAGAGTTCCTCAAAATTATTTCGTTAGGGAGACGAAGATCCGGAGGAGAGGAAATTGAACAGTTCCAAACAAAAAAGGACAAAGAGGTAGCTAATAATGACTGCATCGATGCGATTGTAAATTGGTAATTTAGAGTTGTTTTATACTATTTTAGCTTCAGAGATCTCACAGATGGGAAATATAAAAAGAATGATCTAGAAATCCCTTTTCAATTATTTATTTCTGACTACCGTAGAAAACAACTGCTGAATGCAATGATGAGCAAAGATAAGAACGAGAAGAAGGTGGGAGAAGGAATTATGAATTGATTCAAGAACCAACTTACTCAATCAAAAACTAGGAAAAGACTGAGTGAGGTAGAATTGAACAAGATTGTACAAGAGTTAGGCCTTTTTACTTAAATATCAGCATTTTACTCTATTATCAAATAATATTTTTAAGTTTTCAAAAATATAAGAATAAGCAGGGGTTTTGGGGTTTTGGGGTTTTGGGGTTTTGGGGTTTTGGGGTTTTGGGGTTTTGGGG